TCTTCCCTCCAAAATTATTGATCGCAGGACAACTCGATGCCCCAGAGACGCCTTCGCAAGCCCGTCCTGAAGAGTTCACTTCCATCCTTGTCCCATCAAGCATATCTATGTATATTTTTTTAAGTTTTGACTTACAAGCTTTATCCATTAGCAAAGCCCCATTTTACTACCTTCTAAATCGTTTAAAAACATTCCATTTTAGAAATGTGCCAGATGACACAGACTGTGACAGTGAAGTGTAAAAAGTGGCGTTTTTAATGTATTACAAACCTTTTGAAATGTCAGCAATAGAAGTTTTCAAAAAATGTTTGAAGTTTTTTGGACAACGCTTAATAAAAGGACTGATTTTAAATCTAGATAGTATTTTAAGTGTAAATACCCAGTTCCACAAAAAACCATCTCGCCTTTTATAGCGTTTTGAAGCTGCGGTGGAATTAAACATTCCCCTTCATTGCAATGCTCCGAGAATAGTGGAAAATTCACTTGGTAGGGGCAATAAAACTTAGCCTTTTCGATGTCTGACAGGGTTGAAATGAGAAGAAGAAGGGAGGAGAGGAGTAGAAGAGGAAGAGGATAATTGTCTTCTGGGAACGCTAACAGCGGACCATCAAACGTCACCAGACTCCTGGGAATGTCACACGGTCCTCGAGGATGATAAAACCCAACTCTACATGAGTCAATGTAATGTGTGTAATGAAACTCTTGCACTCTCACAGTGTTGCTCAACTATTTTCAGCCTTCAGCTAGGCTTCATACAGACGTCTTGTCCTCCTCCTTTGACTGTTCTAGTTCCATAGTTGATAGTTGGAGATCTAAACCCTTGCACTTCCCATAAGATCCATTATGCCGTAAAGCTTTATGCATGATTGGATTCTTTGTGTGTAGTAAGGCTACTGGAATTGATACCGTCCATCGAGTCATGCGTGACCTCTCAAAAAGCCATTCATTAAGGTAGACTCTTGACGTGGCTTCGAGTAGACACTTCTGAACTGACGCAGTGCAAGAGTAACCACGGAAAACCTCAGTACTTTGGGATGGCATTGATTGAAATGATGCTAGAGTGAACTGGATACACCGCCTTGCACGGGATTCTTCCTGTAGATTTTACAGAAGACGAACAGCGTTTACTCAAAAAATTCTTAGAATCACTAAAACGGCTTTTGAATGGATGGGAAATTTCCCTCTAAGGAAGTCACACAAAAGACACATCAGTGACTGGATTTCTTGGAACTATTTCGAAGTTTAGACTTGAAATTTATCGCTTTCTGACGCTTTAAATCTGACACCTTGTTCACCTTTCGACCAATATTAAATAATATATTTTGGCTATTAAGAAAAACTTCATAAATGTTGAACCACTTCACTGAAGTTTAGTATCCTTTTTACCTGCTTTACATGCGAACCCACCTCGAGGACTGCCTTACGCATTAAAACGAGGTTTGAAGAGGGAGGGGAACGGATTTGCAAAGTTCACTTAGGTTGAGGACTTGAAACTTTGATTTTCACCTCCTTAAAACAAGTTTTAACCAGTGCTAGAAACAATATCCATCATTTACCTTCCCTCTTGACACGTAATCGTCATCCTTGACATAAAATCTGACAACGGGTTTGGTGTAGTTGAGCCCCTCTATGACCGTAATGTTCTCCTGAACAACCAGACTTGGGAGATTATCATTGATGTCTTTTGTGACAACTGTGAGAGTGGTGGTGCCCGAGCGTTTCGGTGTTCCATTGTCCGAGGCGACAACAATCACTGTGAAGCGTCTCTCACTGTAGACCTCGTAGTCCAGAATCGAGTTCAAGTAAAGCGCACCTGAGTGCCCGTCGATGGAAAACTTCTCAAATACCATCGGTTCGTTCAGAGGACTCAATGAGTAGGTTATGAGACCATTATCAGCTGAATCCATATCTGTGGCAAGGAACTTGTATACGGAATCCGGAGAATATGTCGTATTCTCAGCCAATTCGATGGTAGAGACATTGGTTTTCTCAAACACCGGGGCGTTGTCGTTAATGTCCATAAGGACCACAGTGACAGAGAGAGACCCTGTCAGTGGAGGCTCACCTCCATCAACTGCAATAACAACCAGTTCAAATTCTCTGTCACCGGGATCTTCATAGTCCAGTTCACGTAGCTGAATAAGAGTAGGAGGTGATAGTCTCCATCCATGCGATTCACTTGGCGGATTGATCAGAACTTTTTCGTAGGTCAGTTGAAAGAGATCCGATGAGGGTGAGTTTGCCTCGATACGATACTGTACCACTCCGTTGCCTGCGCTGTCCAAATCCACTGCAGATGGAAGCATTTCACGGGCGAATTTGGCTCCTTCTTGGATGCGAATGGTAAAGTGAGGATAACCCTGGGAATTCAAAGGAAATCTTGGAGCGTTGTCGTTAATGTCAGTGAGATGGATCTGAAGGTGCGCCAGCACCTGGTCATGTGAACGCATCACCGGATTCTCACTCTGTCCCACTATAAACATGACCCTTGCATGGATGATGCAGATGGCTGACTGACAGCAATCCAGCGGTCCGCATATATCGTTGATATTGTCACGGTCAACGGACTTTTGTGCAATTATACTGCCATTTTTTGTGATGGAGAAGTATTCGTTGAAGCGCTGGAAGCGCGAGGATGTCACTACAATGAGAGAGAAGGCAATACTAGATTTGGGCCAGAGGGCATGACATATATTGCCCACCGTTTGACCCGGTTTGATCTCGTCTACCATTTGAAATGTGGCCGAGGGTAAAGACGTGTCAGAAGTTTTGCAGTTGGTGAGTTGACCCCATCTTAAAAGGAGGAGTAAGAGTGATCTGAAAAGAAAACATTTTAGACGTCGTTTAAGGAGGATGAACCATTTAAAAGAATCACTCGTTTTACTGGTTCCTCAACAATGAGTGGATAGGAAGGGATAGAGATAAATGAATTATACCTTTGGATAGCGATAGAGTAACTGAATGTATTACGGCATAGTAATACACACATTAAGTGTTTGGCACCTAGCAACCATTATTCTACTCATCTCACAGACACACCATTGAGACAAATTCTCTTCCTTCGTTTCCTCACCGTACAGGTCGGCTGTACCACCTAGCGCATCTAGCAATGGTTCCGTGCTAATGAAGCAGTTAGATAGGCATGGATCTTTTCAAGCGTCCACCCCATTCAGTGCTGGGCTCTTACGCAGTCTTACAGAAAAGGGGCTTTTTATGCTATGATAAAAATGGATTCGAATGGTCAATTAAATCTAAAACGATGCTTTGAAGAAATTTAATGAGAATGCCATCAAAGTAGAAATGCTTCC